CCACCTCCCTCTCCCACAGAAACAGGGTATTGCCTCGTTATTCTGGGTGAGAATGGGATTGATGAGTAGCTACAGGAGAAGGTATGTGTTAGTGGGTCAGTTAGGTTTGTGGGGTGGGTGAGTTCTGAGAGTTTGCAGTGTGTAGTCAGGTCATCCTCTTGAGCCATTTCTGCCAGTAGTTTGGGTGATGGTATCTGAGATCATGTTGGAACATTGTTCCCTCAGGCCTGGGGTAGGCACTTCCAGAATTGGAGTGTGTGTGGCTGATGGGGTTTGTGGGCAGTCAGGAGCATTCCAGTGGTGTCAGGCAGAGGGAGATATGATCGAAGATGAGGGGTGGGCCACTCTCAGGAAAGAGGATTTCAGTTTCTTACTGATCCCTCCTTTTGGTCTTCCATCCTCATCCCAGATTCCAGGGCACCAGATTCTCAGGGGCCCTGGTTTCTGGCTGTTGCTGCTCAGTACCACATTGGCCTGCAATAAGTCCTTCCTCATCCATGAAGTTGTAAGGGGCAAACATGGTATGTGTTACCACAACCTGGTTGGGTGTGGAGGGAGGTGGTCATCTCTTGGAAATGTGGCCACCTGGGTTTCAGGTTTGGTATCAGCTTCAACCCCAGGGCAAGGGAGGTGAAGTAGCTATTATTATTTAGGAGACTTTTAAGCCAGCTAAAAAACAGTGCACTGCAAACAACTGGATATGAAATCCTCTTTGTCAAATTGGACACTAGGGAGTAGTTGGGTTTGTTGCTGCTGTACCAGCCTCCCTGCTGTGCAGCAGCTTCCCTGTCTGAGCTGTTTGATGCCATTGCTAGGTTGGTGACTGAATCCCCTAGATTGATAGGTCTAGGGGATTTCTATCTGCCTTCTCTTGGTGAGGGTCAGAAGTAATTTTGGAGTTCATGGCCACCATGACAACCGTGGACCTGTCTCAGATTATTGAGGGCCCAACTGTATAGGTGGTCACATTCTTGAATGATATTTGTCTCAGGGCAGATGCATGTGATGTGAAGATGGGAGATATCAACGTCTCTGCCTTGTCATGGTCAGATCACTCTTTGGTTGCTTTGGAGCCTTCTGGTGTTGCTCTCCTCTGCAGGGAGGTGGAGCCAATTACAGTATATCAGTCCACTCCCCATGCCTGATTTATCAGGATTTCCTGAGTCTCTCAGCAGCATTCAATACCATTGACCACGATATCCTTCTGGACTGTATCTGGGGTAGGGAGTGGGGGTCACTGTTTTTTAATAATTCTTCTCCTTCCTCCAGGGCTGATTCCGGCTGGTATCGGTAGGAAAGGAGAGATCTATCCCAAGACCACTGCTTTGCAAGATCCCACATAGCGTGGCACTATCCCTACTTTTATTCAACTCTATATGAAGCCTTTGGACAAGGTCATCTGCTAGAAAGGAGTCACGTATCCTCAGTTCTTGGATGATACACAGTTTTGCACCTCAGTCCCAGGCTGAACAACCAATGCTGGGGAAATCCTGTGTTGGTGCTTGGAGACTATAAGGGAATGGGTGGGGAGGAACAAGCTTAGGCTCAGTCCTGGCAAGACTGAGTAGTTTTGCTTTCAAGGACCTACCAGTCACAGTGATTTACCATCTTTAGTTCTTGACAGGGTAATTGTGATGGACTGGCCTGACAGTAATACATAATTTTGGGGTCCTCCTGGCACCCATGGCCAGGAGGACATTTGCATAGATCCATCTTTTGTGCCAGTTACATCCTTTCCTGGGTCAGGAGGCCCTTTTCATAGTCACTCATGCCCTAATTATCTCCTGTTTGGGCCACTGTAATGAACTGTACATGGGACTACTTATGGGCACTTCTCACTTCACCCACATCACACCTCTGCTCCATGAGTTGCTTTGGCTCCTGGTGGGCTTCTGGGTGCAATGTGAGGTGTTGGTTGTCACCTATAAAGCCCTTCATGGCTCAGTTCCATGGGACCATTTTTTTCTTGTTTCTGTCCAATCACTAAGATCTGGGAGAACTGGCATGTTCCATGTCAAGAATCTTTTATCACTGAGGTACAATGGAGACTGTGTTTTTTCTGTCTCATATGTGGTCAATAAAATCATTAAGTGACTTCTCAAATACTATATTGTATTATGAAATATTTTGCCCAATATTATGAGTAGAAGTTTGGGGAGACACGATGTTTCTACTATATGCTGGTCTTTGACCATAATAAAGATTTGATTTGAACGTTTCTATTAGCAGAGTGTTCCGGGATAGAAACAGCATAGGTTTGAACAATTTGTTAGCTTGTTATTCATTCTAAAAGCTGATAAGTCTACTTACCTGGTAGATGTCCAATACAATGAAGATTCTATGGAATTATACAGAAAATGCAATGCCTGCATTGTGCTGATAGGCTATGTTTTGGTGAAAGTCCTGTTAAATTGGCAGAATGCAAGGTAAGTCAACACTTTGAAGCACTTAAGGAATGCCGTAGATATGCTGGCCAAATAACTAAAATGGGGGAAAGGTGTGAATAGGAAGGAATAAATAGTTATCACTCCTCTGGGCCATAAGCACAATCTCATGGGTGACACAAATCACCTAGCAATCTAAATATAGGATTGCTCCATGCATTTTACCCTATTGTACTTTTAAGTCTTATATTCATTCACTTCAGAGTCCTGCTTCATTTCAAATGCATTTGCAACAACAAAAGCATATGCAAAGAAAAGTAATGAGTTATTGATTTATCCTTAGGATTTAACCAAAAGAACTAAGAATAGAGCTGGAAAAACAAACAGAAAGAGAAAAAGAAAGAAAAAATCCCTCTCCCGATGTATTCACAGGGAGCAAAAAAACCTTTTCTCTCTCTCTCCCTTCCCTCCTTCATCCCCCATGATAGCTCCTGAAGCATGTCCGGAGCAACCATTGCCAATTTGTATGTTAATACAAATTTTCTTTATAATTTCTAGCAGAACTCTTCTTGTCTGTCCAGTAGCCTCATTAAGAAAATAATTGTTCAGGAGACATCTGTGGACAAATTTCCCCTATTTAATGGAAGATATTATTGAACTTTGTGTTAGCCAATGGAAACAACTGGTTCTTGGTGTGTTTCGTAACAACTTAAAACTCTAGACAAGCATGATAGCCTTGTGGGATTCCATTTTGCTGCACCCAGTACTGTTGCCCCCCAAACCACAGAGGGCGAGAACTCATTTGGATTCTTGTTCAGGTCTGAAGCAACCTCATCAGAACTGTTTTGGATCTTCCCTGCTCTCCTTGACTTCACTTCTAATGTGGTATTGCCACTGGCTTTCAATCCAGGCATATCATCAGTTCAGACTTCTGGGTTCTCTGTATGAGCAGGTCTGCACATCTTCATGCCTTATTAATTCCTTAGGTGTCTGGATGGGCAACCCAGTCTTTGGACCAGGGGCAATTGTCAGTTCTGTTCACTGTAACGGTGACATCTTGTCTTCAGGCTTTTACACACCTGGTGTACCTGTGTCTTTTTGATTAGATTCTGAGTAATAGAATTTTTTTTTAAATACCCTATTCTAATGGAAGGACTGTTATTATCTTGCAGGGCTCTAATAATATAATTTATTTTCTTGGTTGCAGTCTGGTTCTGGGATCTATAATAAAGCTTGATTGATTCATTGAAGAATATAATTGTATTGTGTTTGACTATTTCCATGGAAGCTAATGGAGACAGGGATTTTTAAAATTGATATTATATTCATTGCTGGTTTTTATTTGGATATGATAAGATACTTAGTTGACTATATTGTGCCAGTTAGATTTAGTTTATTGGGCTAGACTTATTTACTATGCAATTGTGTTGAGACCTAATTAGGTTTTAATTGTGTATATATTTTGCAAATGATATAGTGTATATCTTGTAACACACTTTGTTAAAGGTTATTTTGTGGTAATAACTGGCACTATTATTTTGTGTGTGGTGTTCCTCCTCCTCCCACCCCACCCATTTTAAACCTGATGCATCTAGGATTCTAAATTGCATAGGAATCCCACACTCATACATATGCAAGCTTTTTGCTCCATGTCAATTAAAAATGAAGTGCTGGTGGAAATATGAAGCTGGGGAAGAAAAAGAAATTGTATTCTGAAGCTTTGATTTCTGATATTCTGTATTTTTGTATACCTTTTTGGTACCTCTATATACAGTCATTTATAATAATTAGCAGAATGTCCACTAGAAACTATTATCTATCATATATCAGTGCCTGCCTTTATATATATATATATATCCACATAGAATTGTGTATTAATTTGATTGCTTATTCACATATACTTTATGTTTTCTATGCCAGTGATGTTTGCATCTTGTAGCATCACCAACCAAATATAATAGCAGGGCTCTATATAATTAAAGATCCACAGGCCCTTGTCCACATACCTTTAGAATTTATGACCAAGTTTAATGTTCTGGGAGATTGCTAAGGACTTGAGAATGTGCCAGTTGGTCTCTTCATTTCTTTTTTTCTGCAACTGTGGTGAAGGAGGCAGTGGACAAGCTTGCTAGAATAACAACAGAGTGCTGGCACTGCCTTTAATCAAGGATGCTGTGTTACCTTTCAAAATGTCCCTTTGTTGCCTCTCCCACTTGGAGATCATTCCAGGTCTGGTCTTCCGTCCCTGCGATAGTTACAAGTAATTTCTTTGTTTCATTATACTGGGCACATGCTCTGTGCTTCTTTGGTCAAATCCCTGTATAGGTCTGGGGTATTCCTACAATGCTTGCTTTTGGCCTGCCTCAAGTGCAAGGGACCAGGACTCACTGTACCTTGCTAGTTTCACTAAATAAAACAATCATTTAGATCCTTTCACAGGTTTGACATTTCTCAGGGAATTATTGTTCCATTGAATGTATCAAGTCAGATTTTTTTCAGGATTTGATCACATCTCTTGGAGGCAACAGATCTGTAAATTGCAAGGATGATCATGAAATATGATACATCTGGGTAGAATTTCATAAATCGGGGAAGAAAAACAGCACCCTCTCCTCGCAGATTGTAAAAGTGGTATTTATTTTTTAAATGTAAACACAATACTAAAAGCCAAATGCCAAAGTAACCATATTTTAGAAATACCCCTGGAAATAATTGTATGAATAAGTCCATCAAAGACACAGCTGCCTCCATGGAACTGTGAATACATCACCGCTTTTCAAGAACCACACACCAGTTTCCTTGGTCATAATAACTTTCTCGCACTTTTACGCAGTCTAGCTGTTTACACAGCCGTTCCAGTTCACCTTCACAGAAGACATGGTAATAGCGGTGAAAAACAGGATTAGGTTCCAGAGCGTTTGCAGAGCCATCCAGAGGCTGACAAAGCTTGTCTTGTCTTGTCTTTTCCTTTGTTCCATCTTTCAGATGCCAAGGGACCAACACATCTTGGGAATCAAAGGAAGTTCTGTTTGTATGAACTGGCAGGCTGGCAGGAGCCACCTGGTTTGGACTGCTGCTCTTCCCCTCAGGCTGGTTACAATCCTTGCTGGGCTGTGCTAAATCTTGGCGTTCGCCATTGCCTGTTTTGTTTAGTGTGTCGCTGACAACTTTGCCAAGCCTGTTATCACTGGCTCTTTTCCCTTTCAGATACTTCGACTTCTGTTTCTTGTATTCCTGTTCCATTGCCCAAACATAAACAAGGGCCTTTCCACCTGCTCTCAGCAGCCGAGTCAGTTCACAAAGCACAGCCAACCTCCTCTCCTGGTCAAGGGGGGGGGGGGGGGGGGAACAAAGCTAGTCATCCTGAAGGTAAAGTGTAACAAGCTAAACATTGTACTCAAAACAAAACAAAACACAAAACACAAAATGTCCTGGAAACTCAGAGAATTAGGAACAGCTGTACTACTGTTCTGTCCGTTTCTACTTTTTAAAATATACATCTTTCAGGCCTTTCAGCTATATAATAGAATTATATATCAATTAAATTAATATAATATAATATAATTAATATATCAATTAAAATAAGTGTTAAAATTCAGCAGACAATAAAAAAGCCCCAAGCCGAACAAGGAATAGCTACCAGAACATAGGATGTGAGCACTTTATTGAAAGAAGGGTTCTAAGTAAGAACTATTTTAATTAGTACATAACAAAATAGATGTCTTATAGTAAAGAGGCTGGTCCATGAGCTTCCTAACTGTACCTTAAACGTTAGCAGGGCATATAACTGAGTTTCTTTTGAGAACAGGAAAGTGATGGCAATCTTGGTAGGCAAAAGAGGTCCTCCAGGTAGCTAAACTACAACTCTTTATCATCTGGGCTGCAACTTAAAAAAAGTGTTGATTGTGTTTTAGACAGCACAACTGAGAAGCACAGCATGCACGTTCTATGGTCTGTTCACATCCAGAATAAGAAAAGTTAATGCAATATTGGCTAAACCCTAATTTATGAAAGCTAAATTGGAGAGCAAGGTCTTGCAAAACTTTCAGAAGAATCTCAAATCACAATAAAACAATTGGTTCATAATGTGCTTCAGCAGATCCATCTTTAGTGAGGTTGAAACAAGACCACTGCTCGGTGGTCCAGCACATCCTTTACATGCAAAAAGTCTCAAGTTCAGCAGCAGCATCTTCAGGGAACAAAAGATTAAGAAAATATGCCAGAGAACATGAAGAACTACTGCCAGTCAGAATAGACAGAGTTAGAAAATTTGTGTTGTGGGCTGCATAGGTGGCTAAGATGATTAGAAAAACATTAGTGGTACAGGAATTTCACAGGGTGGGAAGGTACTCCAGAGTTCCTCATTCATTTCCTTTCTTGTCCCCCACCACAGGGGGTGGTTATAGATGCAAAAATAAGCATGGTAAGCCTTAAATCAATTGCACCAATAATTGTGGTCTAAAAATCAAAGGAGCAATCTGGAAGTTCTCTGGGAGCTGCAAAAATGGACTGGGGATCATAGCTAACTAATCCATGGAATGAAACAAACAAACAAACCTGAAACAGAAGGACAAACTACATTATAACGTTTCCACTTTTAGGCAGTTTTAACATACCACTGTTGAAAAATGATGGATGACTGCAATGGATATGCAAGCATCACACGAACCACTCCGTATTGGCACAGTGAGTGCATCGCACACAAAAGCCTGAAATCCTTTCTCTCCACAGATGTCTACCAGAGTTTTACTACGATCACAGCCAAACTGTTAAAAAAAAAAATGTGAAAAGTCTGTACACAAATCAGGAATGAACATAAAAATCCTGCAGCTTTTGCAGAAATAAGCAATAATCAGACCTAGTTTTCTAGATCCAATGTTGAAAAGTTGATTAATTTTTCCCTCTTTGGGGAAGAACCAAAATAATGATCTAAGTGCTGGATTAACAGCATGCATGCATGCATGCTTCTTTAGCGAAAAGAGTAGTATCAGCTGCCCAGATGCGAAGGACTGTATACTCAAAATTGCACCTGCATGCATCAAAGCATTTAAGTTTATCTTTTTTATGCCATTCTTTTAACACAATCCACCACAATGGCTGCCTTGATTTTTAAACCTGTTTTTTTCCCCCACCAAGACTTCTGGTGTAGTTCAACATTAGCTACATTTTATAGATGGTGAGCTTACCAACTCTGTCTAAATGTATATCTGTCTATCAATAACAAACTGTTGCTTGATCCCCCAGTAACATTAAGAAATCGGTTCTCTTTTCTCATCCCTGGCACCAAGATACCCCATCTGGGGTCCAATTGACATAACTAAAAGAAGGGTTTACATTTTAATTCCACCTTCCAGTGTCATCTGAACTGCACAGAAGCAACGGGAAACACATCCCAACCAATCCTGTTCTCCACCTTTCCCCTGGGGAGAAGTAATACTTTCTCACCTCTTCCATCTTTTGCATTCCTGCTATAAGTTCCATTAATTTACCAGATACAGAAAAAAGGGAAAGGAAAAAAGGGAAGGAAAGCAAAGCTACCTGTGCTCCTTATTATTTCCTTTTCTCCAGCTAGACTTAATTCACTTATGAATGCTGGCAGTAGTAATATTAGCTTTGACCTTATTTATTTGAAATACATTCTGCTGCCCCACGTCTCTTCCATAAGACACTCAAAACAGCTCGGAATAAAATCAATACACAAGCAGTTATTAAGCAGAAGACATCAAAACTACAATGAATATAAGGCACTGTAGGCTAAGCTGAGCATGGTTCCGCCCACTGTCTTACATCCAATTTCCACTCTAGATGGCCTCAGTACATCTTTCATGAAAACAGCACTCTGAAAATGGATAGAGGGTCCCTTTTAACTGGAGCCACTTAGCTGCTCTGACTGCCTACCGCCTCCCTTCTAATATTACTTTTTTCAAGACTATTTTATAACTGAAAACAAATATAACAACCAGCTACAAGCCAGGTAATAGGAGCCAAGTTCAGACTGAGAATATTTGTCACTGGTGATATATCTGTACACAGCTATCTTCTTTGCTTCAGGCTGGCAACCACAAGTTCCTTCAAGACTATCCTCACTGGGAGGGCAGTATTCAGACTTATAAGGAATATAAGCCATTGTTCCTAGAACTACTAAGACCAATGTTGTGCAGTGATTGTAAACACTGAAGAGCTCCTACCCCTAATAAACTTGTTCTTATTAAAGTAGATTATCTAAATTTTGGAAAGAGCTTGCCTCAAGAAGCAGAATCCATCCATATATAGAAGACACTGAGACATCTGCTTTTGGGCTGAAATCAGAGGTTTAAAAATATAATCTATGGGATGAAAAGGGCATTTATATTGTTGCCGTTAAACAGATATATGGTTGCTTTACTCCCTTTTTTCCAATCAGTAAGAAGTTCAGAGACGGTCTGAACTGGGTTTATTAATTTATTACCAACTGTAGTGTTTCCTATCACAAGCCTAGTTCAAATAGCATGGAAACACACAGCAGGGGAGATCACTTCAATTTTCAACCCCAAGAAAAGGAGCACTGCAGCACTCTCATTTGACCTTCAGATCACATCAAACAACCTGAAATGGCTTTGTGGATAGCTTTGGAGTGCCAGCAGGACTGTAGCAGAAACACTTCTACTGCATTATTGCTATCAGTTTCAGAACAGCAGCTGTAGAACGAAGGAGATTTGAAAAGGAACCACTAGACTGAATCCCAAGGTGTTTTTCCATTAGTGCAGGAAGCAAGCAAGCTCGCTAATTCTGCCCTACATTTACAGCCTAAAACTCCAGTATGGCCCTCAGAGACCCCTCCTGTAATGCCTGCAGGCTTCATGTCCTACCTAGTTTTATTACTTTTTTAGATTCTTTTTTTTTAAAGATAGAAAGCTAGCATTGTGCAAAGCAAACTGTTAGGCTCAAGCATACCTTTATTTCAAATAATGTTTCTTTTACCTGGGCCCTCAAAAGCTGGAAAGGGAGACTGGAAACTTTACCATTTTGCCTTTTGTTAAATGGGTATTTTGTGACTAACTGCATCCACTATGGCAGCCTTTTGTGGGAGTGCCAATAACATGCTCTCAAAATCCAAGAACATCCACTAACCCTCCAAAAGTTTTGACTCTTGATTTACAGTCTCCTGCAACATATCACACTAATTCCAAGAGTCCCACAATCTTTCTGAGCAGAAGGGCAGTGTATATGCACTGGCTCGTTCTCTCTCTCTCTCTCTCTCTCTCTCTAAATATATATACACACATACACACACATTTCAATTCAGAGGTTGCCAAGGTAAGATGAGCAAGTAAAGCCCCACTTTATGAGTGAAATACTGCTACATTCATAATTATATAAAATTATAGTTATTCATAATCATCATGGCAATCCAGGAATCAGTCTGTTTACAGCCAAGATATTATATTTGCAAAGAGGAAATAAATTACATACAAAAAGTTTATTACAGTAAAAAACCAACAACACAGGGAACAATGCAAATTTGTATCACCAATTGCTTGCTATGGATACAAATGTTGATCTAGAAGAGTAATTTAGTTGATGGATTAGCTGCTGGAAGACAATAAAAACAGGATACAAAGGCTATAAACTGAGTTTGATTCATGCACTTACGTATATCAAATGAAAACAATGTCATGTAAAGTCAAAAGATGGGCCGTACTAAAACCAATAAATAGCTTCCTTTTGTAACTATAACAATTTACCTACTTGTGTTAATATAAATAGAATTTTTTAACAACAGTGTATTTATTTTGGTGTTTCCAACCAGGACAGATTAAATTCTCAAGTCAGTCAGCTTTAGCTGCCAGTTACAAAGGGGTTATTGACAGAATATAGGCCAGAACTAATTCTCAAAGCAGATTTGCCCCATTTCATTAACAGGAAAAGAGTTGTAAGAAAAAGAGATATCCCACACTTTGGTTTTGTTGGATTTGGTTATGTGGTATGTAAAGTGCACACAATTGCACATAATGTTAGTCATATCATAGATTTGCCATAACTGGGAAATCATTATTGCAAATGGTACCAATTTCATTATTGGGTATGATCATAAAGATTTTGATTTTTAATTTAGAACATTTACAGCACCAGCGCCCACCATCTGCAGAACAGATTGCTCTCCAAACAAACAAATTGGTCCATTCTGGTGTTTACAAAGTCTAAACAACAATGACTCGGTGAAAAAGAGAATGTTAAAACATGGATGAAAACTATTTCTAACAAGGAGCCCTGTTAGATAATTTAGAGCTGGGAGGAAGGGGTGGAATTTTTTCCTTCACTTGACCATCTCAGCAACTAAATAAAGGGACTCAGTAGGACTCAGAGGCAAACTTGGTCTTCTTATAAAGAAACAAAATTCCATTCACTTCAATCACTTTCTGCTGTCCCAAGTAAGAAGAGTATAAATGGACAGAGAAGCAGGAATTCAATCAAAAAGACAACACTGAAATGACCTTGAAAAGGACAACAACACTGTACAATGATAAAATGTAATGAGCTACAGCTTAGCTAACCAAGAGGAATAAAGCATATGACAGCTAGAATATGAAGTCCTAATTTGCATCTAAATTATATCAAATAATTGTGAAGTCAGGCTTAGTTGTAATGTCCTGTGTAGCAAAGTGAATCCACTGCCCAAAATAAAAAGATTAGATCTTGCAATAAAATAAAAAGACTTTGGAGCATCCATTACTTCAAGTGCGATAAAAATACAAAGGATACACCAGCTCCAGATTAAATTTCCCTTTGGTGTAAATATGATGGATCTTGGATGCATGTACATGGAAACTGGAGAGATAATTACTGCAAACTTGCATTTTATCATTCCTCAACCAATGTTGTAATCTCATTCAGATTATCAGAGGTTATTTTAACATTTTTCTAATTAACTTTCTTTCTCTCTTGACATGCTTCTGTGAATCAGGATTTATTCAGAGACAAACTTCAAGTCCAGCAACCAATTTGGAATGCCAAGGCTCAACTTTGGAGCGTGTGCAAAAATGCAGATGAATACTGATGAGCTTTTTCCCACTGTGGTACAATCACCAGGCCTGCCAACGAGATCTTCTGCATTTGATGTGCTATTTGTATTCATACTCTCTAGATGTATGGGAAAGACAAGAGGGAGAGATGCAATCGTGAGCCATGTGACAGCCTATTTGAACTAATGGCAACAGAAAAGTAACAAGTCCAGAGAATGAAAAAGGGCTTGTGCTATGAAAAAACAAATTAAGGAAGATGCAGGCAGTTGGCAGAGTAGCCAAGGATAGATAGCAGCACCAAGTCTAATGGGGACAGATGAAACCATCAGCTGCAAAACCTCACACTGGAACTGAAGGGACAGTAGAGAATTTCATTGTGCAAGCAAGGAGCTAGAGACCCCGAGCAGGGAAGAATGAGCAACTCGTGCGCTTGCCACAGCCTGTGAGAGGCAGTTCAATACTTTATCAAAAGCAACAATATGGCAAATTGTAGGGAGGGAGTTTACATAAATGGAAAAGCGTGATGTCTGGGTAACTGCTGCAGGGTCTGGATTCTAAAACTAGATCCAAATCATCCTTTCTCCACTGGAAAAGCCAGCAAACTACTAATATCATATGTTATGGCCCTAAAGGAAAGGTACACAACTGAGGACTCCGGGCCCCCACAAAAGGTTGTTTCAGAAGGAAAGATATGACTGGAGATACACATTAGCTAAATTTAATTGGGCAATAATGCCAACTCCTGTGACACATACAACTATCTCTGCAGGCATTTAGATGATTCTTAAAGTCCCACTGGTTTAGGAAGATTTCATCATGCTGCTTGTTGGTGCAGTGTTGGAAAATAGTTTATTAGTTTCATTTAATAACAGAGAATTTATGTAGCTCAGGGCTGAACTATTGGCTTCTTGGGGTTCTCTGACCTTCTCTTCTTGTAGATGTTTCATTACCAGGCTAGATAGCATCATCAGTGCATGAGGGAGTGAAGTTTGCTGTTTATTATACACCAGTTTATCCTACTAGCCTTTGGTTGGTATAGTGTTTATTCCTTGATTGCTCTTTGAATGGGGTATTGTTTCTTTCTTGATTGTTGCTGCTTATCTGGGGGTTGGCTAATAGGTGTTGATGGGGAAGGATGTGCTTTGGGCTGTTTGCCCCTTTCCTCAATTTTGGCTCCTTCCTCTTCTGAATGGCATATAGATAAAGTTTATTTCAATGGCTGATTTGTCAGAGTACCAAGCCTCTAGGAATTCTATTGCATTTTTTAGCTTGTTCTAAAATGCCTACATTTTCCCAAGTGAAAATGTGTTTCATCTTGTCAGTGTGCTAAGAAATTAAAGAGTTTTCATCATGCCTTCTGACTGCCAATTGATGTTCATGGATCTGTTTACCCCATATGGTAGTTCTCACACTCTTAGCATTGCATGTTGTAAATGATGTCTTATTTTTCTT